AATTCTGTAGGAAAAGCAGCTTTCATTATAGCGCTCTATCGGCCAACAAAAGCAACAGGCATGCTCTTGAGAGTCCTAGCTTTACTTTTCATAAACAGCAAATTTTAATACCTACAGCTCTGAATTATTGCTAAGACAATTTTCACTTCAACTCCCTAACCTTTCACATTTTCATTAGAAAATTAAGTTTACAATCTACAACCACACACACCATCCTGAACATACCCATCTTGCCAGAAAATTAGGTTTGCTTTTTTTTTTTTTTTTTAGAATAAAGTTTCCAAGCGTAACTTCCCTGAGAAAAGTTCTTCATAACTAAGGTACTTATCTTGTAAATATAAACAATGAGACAAATGTTGTCAACATTATTACAAAGAATACACTGACCTTATTCACCATGAAATATCTACAGGTTGAAACACAAAACCCTGAACCATAGTGTTTCAAATGCCAGACTATTTTCAGACTTGGGAATGTTTACAGAGGTAGCTTAAGCGATGGAACCCAAATCTCAACACAAAATTCATTGTTGTTTCATATGTACCTTAAGCAATAGTCTGATGCTGATTTTAAGTTTTCAATGTGCCTGCACCTGGAAAGTGACCCACAGTGCAGGCGTGTTAACGTGCAGCAACAGAGCAGTAACCAAGAGTCTGACCTGGAAGCATACGGTTTTCTGAAGTTCTGACGAGGGTTGCTCAAACAGTATTAAATATTTGTGATTTCTTTTTATACCAGAGTAGGGAATCACATCACCTCTTATAAATCTGATGAAAGCTACATATAGTTTTAGGAAATTCAAACATCTTGATGTGTATTTATGTATATGTTCCTGGAGTCTAAATAATTTTAGGTTACTGAAAAAGACTGGAATACAAAACCAACTGAGCTAAAAGAACACAAAACTTTACACAGAACAAAATCCTGTTATACGAATAACAGGATTCACATAAGAAAAGACAGATTCTTTATTAATAATTGCCATAAATGGTTATTCATCAAAAGATAACAGTACATCTCTGTGCATAAATATATGCTTTAAATGGCAAATGCAAAATAAAAACTATAAATTATTCTACTCAAGTATAGAGCATATACACTATTTTGGTTCAGAAAAGTCTTAATATGAAAACTAGTTGCCTAAATTGATAAGATTTGTATAAAATTTAACCTTTCTGTATAGACAAAACATACCACAGCTGAGAGACAAATGCAGCCTTAGGAAAAAAAAAAAAAGCAGATATAAAGAACAGATTATTTATGTTAACATTTAAAAACCCAAATAACTAAAAAGTAATAAATTACCCAAATTAAAAAGAACAATTACAAAGCAATCAACAATGTAAATATTTTAAGTAAAAATTACGTATCATTTAATTACATATCATTTCATAGCCCCAGAGTGGCAAAAATAAAACCTAAGCATTTCCAGTGCTTGTGTGTTCTGGAAAAATGGGTTACTAGAACCTGTAGGGTAAAAACTGTAACAAGTAACATATATCTTTTTGACCCTTATAGACATTCTCCTAATAAAAAAATGACATCACTGGGTAAAGAGTTAGAGACACATAAACATGCTTCCAACATGGTTTAAAATAACAAGAAAATAAATAACAAGCCATAAAAGTGCAGGAGGTTGTAGAGACACAATGACTATCTATTAATCACACAGTAATTTAGGATTCATGCATAATTTGAAATATTAGACAGTTCTTAGAATAAGTCGGAGCATGTCAAATAGAACATGGAAAAGGTTTATAATATTAAATGAAAAAGCAACCTGTAAGCATAATATTTATCGATAAGCTGTAGAAATATTTGCTTTAAGGAAAAAATAACCTATAAAGTAGAAAACTGTAATAATGGGAGGTTTAGGAATTCCTATTTAAATAATTTCCCAAGAGGGAGTGAATAGATGTTATTTTTGAATACACCTATTGCTTTATTGGAGATCTCCCCATCAGGATACTGTTGACTTTAACGAAGTCACTTTACAGTCATTAACAGACATTCCACCCGTTTGGAATATTCCATAATAGAAAAAAATAAACAATAAAAACTATTTTTAAGGGTAAAATGTTCAATAGCCTTCCAGTGCCAAAGTAAAAAGTGCTTTTTAACGTTGCAATTTTAAAATTATAGAAAACAACCAAAGGTTTTCTTTTTCAATAGTAGGAACAAGCTATTTTGGTCCATTTTGTTGAGTAATATAATTATGTTCATTACCTGGATATAAACAAAGGGCAAGACATTAAGCCAATTCCTTTGTGTCAAAATTGAGTTTTCTCAGAATATTCATTCTCAGCAATATATACATTGATAATACAATTTATAAATGCTATTCAAGCAGCTCAACTGTAGTATAATGCCAGTTGAAGTCTCAAACTGCTTGGTGTAATTACAGGAGTTGTCAATTAAAAATCAGACATACCTGAGTTCCAATTCTGACTCTGCCACTTACTACTGATACAGTCTCGGGCAAATTATATAGTTTAAGGATTATTCTGTAACTGAAAAATAGTTATCTCTGGTATTCTTGGAAGATTAAATAAGAATATCACAGATGAAACTTGTCTAATGACAGCTTGACCCTTTAATCTGTCTTTCCTACGCTGTCAGAATAATGGGCAGTGTCTCTTTCAGCACTGCCTTTTAAGCAAGACTGATTTTTCAAATGAGTGGGAGTGAGGAGGTGGCAAGGTGGAGGGCATTTACAGTTTCTCTCAAGGCTGAGGAAGGAAGAACACTTAAGGCCACAAGTTCTGGTCCATCCTGGGCCACACAGCATAGACACCTATGCCTTTTAAAAATAAACTATTTAGAAAAAAAATCTAGTCAGAAGATTAATGGACTGACATAAAGTTACACGCTTTTTCTGTCATGTCTACATCTCTGGGTGTTGTTACATTTGAGAGCTATTTTTTCTTCTTCCTTCTTTCTTACTTTTTTGGTTGTTTATAATAAAGGCGGGATAGTGCCATGTAGTAGCAGATACTGGTCTTGAACTCACCTTCCTCTGGTGTCAGTTTTTAGAGTCCTGGAACTACAGACCTGGCCCACCATGGTCAGCCCTGGGTTATTTCTTAAAACTACTTATTCTTATACATATTTGCTACTTCCTTTATAGAATATTTAATTTGATGCACATATTTCTGGCAGAGGATTTTTTTTTTCTGAAATGAATGAAAATCATGAGGAAGCACATTATTCTATGGCATTCTACATCTTCTGGTAACTTTTTTTTAAAGATAGATTTATCTATCTATCTATCTATCTATCTATCTAACATGTGTGCTGTGTTCTGCCTCTATGTACACCTGCAGGCCAGAAGAGGGCACTAGATCTCATTATAGATGGTTGTGAGCCACCATGTGGTTGCTGGGAATTGAACTCGAGTCCTCTGGAAGAGCAGCCAGTGCGCTTAACCTCTGAGCCATCTCTCCAGTCCCCCACCCCCCCACCCCCGGGTAACTTTTAAAATTGTTCAGGTGGTGTATAGAAACAACTTTCAAACACTGCAGGAAAAAAATAATGTTAGACAAGGAGGAAAAAGTCAACAATAAACACATTCTTATTTCAACTAACTTATTATTTTATTTAACGTATTATGAGTCACTTTTTTCCTGTAAACCTGGATCATGCATGAGGCCAGACTATGACTGTAATTGCTGTAGACACGTAGCCACGTGAAAAGCAAAGGTATATATTGTTCAACCTTCAGTATTAAAAATAATTTGTAGCATACAAAGCCTTTCTAAAATCCAGTCAATAAATTCAACAGTTCTTCATCTTTCACTCTAGAAACGAGGGCTGAAAGTACAGTTGGCTCCTATGCCACACTTAGCTGTACATCAATCAAATATATTCAACATTCTTTGATCACATCATTCTTTACAACATGTTCAAGGCTTCTGTAAAACTTACCAAAACTTGGAAATAGCTACTGCATATAAAATTTAAATTATTTTCTGGTACTTCTTTTCTTAAAAATTAATCCACTGCAACAGTTACCTGTTTCTCAAGGTAACTTTAAATCATGTTTAAGAAACTGGCTAGGTCAAAGTGTACACAAAAGCCGCTTCCCATATTCAAGTTACAACCTTTGAGCTGATTTTTAAGGGCCATGTACATTTCTAACTCAAAACGCGTCCGTCATTAAGTCTCCGTTTCCAGAGCACTTCCAAATACCGACTCTCCGCGCTATCGTCTGCTGTTGCACAACTTCACACTCCAACTTAGTGTTTCAAGCACCCTTGGCCATTCCACACTGACAGAAACGCTTTAAGATACCCATATGGCTAGCTTTCCCCACCCTTTTCATTTTCCTGCAACGTCGAGCCTTCAACGTTCCCCTCTTGCACAGGCAATCAACCTACGTTTACGACCCCACTCTCAAGCCCAAACCAACCAGCAGAGTGGCACTCATAAAGACCTCCTCATTTCGGTACAATCAGAGCTCCTCACCTGCTCCGCTGTCCCGCAGGGCCAGCCTACCTGTGCTGTCACTTCTAACGTCCCTCGCTGACCCTCAAGCTCAGGCACGCCACTCACTACGGTGAGCTGCTTTCACCCCGCAGCATTCCCGGCGTCCCCTTCCACTTCTGCCCATCTCCCTCGATGACCCGCCCCACGGCCACCATCCACAAACGATGCCGTGCCCTAGTAACCCTAATTCAAATTCCAGCCCCCCTCGCCGCACACGACTGGGGCTCTCCGGAACGGCTCGGAGGAGACGAGAGGATGAGCGTTCGCGTCCTCCAGCAGCGCCAGCCCCACGCAGACTTCGGTCCTCTCTCCGAGGAGGGCCGACGGGGCAGCCCTCTGGCCGGAGACCTCGCGCGGGCGGCTTCCCTCCCCGGTGGCGGGAGCTCGACGTGCCTGGGGCGCAGCCCCCGGGACTCTCCGAGCCAAGCCTCCCACCGCCCCGCGGGCTCCCACTTGCTCCACCCGGCAATGCCCAGCCGCCAGCCCGACCCCGGCGCACCGCTCGGCTGCCTCACCTAGCTTCGCCCGGGACTCCTCCAGCTTCTGGATCTGGTTCTCCAAGAAGAGCATCGCCACCGCGAAGGCCACCACCGCCAGCAGCTGCAACTTGGGCGGCATCATAATCCTGAGGAGCCCCATGAAACCCGCTGCTCGCGATCAAGACATACCGCGGGGGGCGGGGAGCGGGGCCCCGAGGGCGACCGAGGCGCCGGGAGGAGACCCCGACCCGGGAGCTGCGCGGACTGCCGCGCCGCGGCGACCCCCTCCTCCTCCTCCTCTCCGGTCTCCCGCCCGCGGGAGCCAGCGCCGGCTGCCCGGTGCACGCTCCTCCTGAGCCCACTCGACGGCCCCGGCGCCCTCCTGCCGCCGCTGCCTGGCTTCGGGACCCCGCGGCCGCACGCCCTCTTCCCTCGCTTCCTCCCTTCCCTCCCTCGGTCGCTCGCTCGCGCCCGCGCGCTCCTCCGGCGGCGATGCGGCTGCGGCTGCGCCGCCCTCGCCCCGCCCCCCTGCCCTCCCCCTCGGCCACCACGCGCACGCCTTGACGCACGCTGCCGGGCAACCAGAGGCTCCGCCCCCATCCTCCCTTACGGTGCGGCTCATTGGTCCGGAGAGCGGCCGCTGAGCGCCCTTTTGGTTGGATTTACGGTTGGGTTCCTTGTCACAGGACTCAAACAAGGCGGTGCTCGATTGGGTAGATGCGGAGAGGGGGCGGGGCTAGTAGTGAAGGCGCTTAATGGCTATCCGACGTCATGTCCTGAATGAGAAGCCCAGGTGCGGGCGGTTTAGGAAAATGCCTGACTTGAATCTCTAAAAGAACCTAATGACCGTTTAATAATCGGTCACGTTCACGCCCCTGTGGTCGCCTAACTAGTGCTGGCCTCTGCAGGATAATAGACCTGTAGGAGTGGCCTCCTGCGGCGGGTGTCACATCAGGCAGTGCAGCGGACGTCCCCGGCACAGGGGTCCTCAAACACCTGAAGATTGACGGCGGACCGCAGGGATGGCGGCCCAGGCGGGCGGGTGGCTGCGGCCCGCTCTGGGGCTGCGCTTGCTGCTGGCGACTGCGCTTCAGGCGGTGAGTGTGGACCGCCTCTGGGGCTGCCTGGGGCCGGTCGGAGGGCTCGGATGAGGAAGGTCAAGCCCGCGGCCACGCAGGGGAGCAGCCCTCGGGACGGGCTTCCTTAGTGGCCGCGTCCATCCGGAATGAAACGTGGCAGAATTGCAGCCGGAGCTCTAGAGGCGACGGTCTCCTGACTTCAGGCAGCTGAAATCGCTTTTTCAAGAACGCAGTGGGTGCATAAATGCGTAGAAAGGAGGGAGGTTTCTTTTGATGAGACAGAGATGAATGAAACTACCACAGGACTCGCGAACCTTAAAGGGACGTCGTCTTGGTTTGGGTCCAGACAAGCGTTTTACTTCGTTGACAAGAATGCATGGGTTCAGAATCTCTGAAAAGCGAAAACCTAGTTTTGACTTATTTAGCTATTTATGAAACAGCTGTATTTTGGTAAACTCCTCTATGGAAGTCCTCCCCCCCCACCCCCCATATTTACATGCTTTGTACTTCATGTATTTAAGTGATTTGTCCAAGATTTTGGAAAGTTTTTAAACCGTCCCTCTCTAAATACTCAGCTTTTCGAACATCTAGTATTTTGCAAACATCATCTCTGCTTTTGTTACATTGTACAAAAGGTGGGCTCTTGGCGTCTTACGTTGCAATACAGGATTGTTACTCAGGCGTCCGGTACTTCAGAAATCACCTAGGGAAACGTCCCTCCAAACTTTCTGTACTCTAGAGTTAACTGGGTTTTTGCATTTGCTACCATTATCAAAGATTACAAAGGAGTAGCGCTTCAAACCTTCTAAATTTCAATAGACAATGGTTTTATAAATAAATACCTGCTCCCCCCCACACCAAAAAAAAAAAAAAAAAACAATGTTTTAAACAATTTAACCATCCTTTAGGTTGGTGGAGCAGTTCCATCACGTGTGCAATGATTTGAGCTCGTCGGTTAAATTAACTAAAAATCCAAAACTACCGTAATTCATAATCAGTGCCATTAACAGGGACCACTTAGTTGTGCTTATAACCTCTCAGCTCCCAGTAGACTGGACTAACTTATTTTTCACAGCAATCTCAGGACAGCACTCCAGAGGGCAAAAGGTTCTTAAAGACCTTGCCATGGAAATCACATATCCCTTCTGGGAGACAGGCTAGAAGTAGAAAGCAAGGTCCTCCCACTGTCTAAACTGATCCAAACCCCATTACATTATACCTGTCAACATAAGTCTCACAACCAAGCCACAGGTAGGTAAATAAATGGACTCCACTGCCGTACAAGAGGAGTGACAGAATTGCATTGGAAAGAATGTCCATGCCAGGAAGAGTCTATGGCTAGTTACATGCCATGATGGCTACCCACCAAATGTAACTCAAAATTCAGATGTCATTTTTGACTCCTTCCTTCGTTTGTGTACCTCTCATACTGACAATTACCAAGCCTTACTAATTTTTACTTCCTAAATATACCTGAAAGCCAGTTTGATACCAAAAGACCTTTCTACTTGGAAGTAACAGCCTCCAGGTTTTTCTTTGAATTCCCTCTTTCTTTACTGAGAATATAAATGAAAATTGCCAATACCAGCTTCCTAATTGCTCAATCCAAAATGTGTTCTATTAAATTCTCTGTACTTTCACTCCTTGGATAGAATTACTCACTAAAACCTTTAAAATTGCCAGGTGTGGTGGCGCTGGCCTTTATTTCCAGCACACAGGAGGCAGAGGCAGGCATCGGATCTCTGAGTTGGAGGCTAGCCTGGTCTACAAAGTGAGTCCAGGTCAGCCAGGGCTACACAGAGAAACCTTGTCTTGAAAACCGAAAGAAAAACCTTAAAAAAAAAAAAACTGTATGGTGGTCTGTAAGAGCTTCCAGCAATGACAATGCTTCTGGTGTTCATTATGTTGAGATTCATTCTCTCTAATCCCATCTGATTTGAAATTTGTTAAGAATTACAGGAGAAACCTACAAGTTTTCTGAGAGTAAAAATTGATGAAAGGACAGTGTGTGTTCGTGCGTGTGTGTGTGTGTGTGTGTGTGTGTGTGTGTGTGTGTGTGTATGTTGGTGCACTCCTTCAAGCACTTGGATATATATGGAGTCCAAAAGCCAATGTCTGTTGAGAGCCTTCTATCATTTCTTCACTGTTTTTAAAAAGGTTTTCTCGCTCAGTCTGGAGCTCCTCTTCCTTTCATCTAGACCCCATGGAGGTCCTGGGATCCACCTGGCTTTGCATTCTCCATCCATTGCTGGGATTACAGATGTACGTGCCAGCCCCTAGCTTTTTAGATGGACACTGACTATCCAGACTCAGGTCTCAAGCTTGTATAGCAAGTATGTTACCTCCTGAGCCCTGTCTCTAGCTGGTTTCTGCAAATTCTTAAGCAGTTTGCAGTTTTGAGAGTGAGTTTGCTGCTATCATGTTTTAGTTGCTGGCTACAAAGTGAATTCCTCTAAATCTAATGGTGTAAACAGTTTATTTTGCTTTCAGATTTGATGGGTTATCAGTTTTCAGACTGACACAGCAGGGGCTCTTCTGTCCCATGGTTCCTCATATCCCAGTTGAAGGCTGGAGTCTGAATCTACAGGCTGTTTACTTGCATGTTGTTGATGCAACATGCAGTTGTTGATGATGTCAGCTGGGTCCTCAGTTGCTCTCTGTGTGGTTCTGTCCATGCTGTGTCTTTAATTTAGGCATCTTTGCAGCATGGTGACCAAGTTCCAAAGTTCATGTTTAGGGGTAGAGGGTATAAGCAGACAGACAGCACAAATGCACACAGGCACACACAGACATTGGAGGACTGCCAACCACAGTGTAAGAACATGTGGGTGCAGCTGTCTCCAGTCTGCCATGTTGCTGTTCCTGATTTCAAGTTACCCTGTGAAACAGATCTTACAGGTTACTGAACTGATGGGAAGTTGCACTGTCTTTTAGCTGAACTAGAATCAGCGACAGAAAACTCACCACTAAACTCATAGGGCCCTCCCACTTAGTTGGGATAGTTGGTTAGTGAAGATTAGGTACATTCTCTATTATAGAGGTAAGCTATTATAGATATTGCAGATTAGAATATTACTGATAACGGCCCATGAGATGGTCAGCATTCTGTGGTAACATACTAGCAATGTCAGTGAATTTTAATCTTTCCAATTAAGAGAAAGCTGACAGACTAGAGTTGGTATGCCAGTTTCGGCCAACCCTGACATTTATTGGAACATTCATTTCTGCATTGTCTGTGATTGCTTTTGTGCAGTGACTGAGTTGAGTATTTGTAAAAGAAACCATTTTGCTAACAAAGCATAATTGCCTTCTGGCCCATAGAAGCTTGCAGACCCCTCCTAGTTCTAGACCGACCAGATACAGTCGGTCTGACACTTCCCCTATTAGAGGCTGTGGTTTTTACCAGATCATTTGTTTAATAAACAAACACTAGTGTAGGGCTAGAAATAGGACAACTTAATGCCTCTCACCTGAATCACTCACATGTTGTTAGCAATTCAGAAACCCTCATTTTTATGTCCGTGTTCTTGAGTAGTCCTCTTTTACATTTCTCAGAGAAGAAAAGTGCAATGGCTAAAAGTAAGTTAAAAGGTTTTCAAAGAGAGGGCTTCCTAGAAGATTGGCGCTGATTAGGTTCTTGGAAATAAGTAGAATTAACAAGGTGAAAATGAGGAAAGCATTTTAGACATAGGGAAAAATCTGAGCAGCAGTGTGAGGACCATATTTACACATCAGGAGCACAGGGATTCATAGCTGGAAAGTGGGGAAGCCAAAGAGTGAGGAGAGGTAGAACTGACTGATACAAAAGCTACAGAGGCAGGAAAAGTCTTCAAAGCTAGAGGGGTAGAGGGCTCAGCAGTGAAGAGCTGTGCCGCCCCTGCAGAGGACTCCAGCTCAGCTCCCAGCACCCGAATCTGACTGGAACAGCCAGCAGTGACCTCAGCTGCTATAGCCTCCACAGGCACCCGTACTTGTGCACACACTCACGTGCAATACACATAATTAATGTAATGAAGATCTCTTAAAGACTGTCAGAGATTTAAGAGCTCTTCAGAGAACAAAACTGTGAAACTATTAAATAGCTGTGAAAAAGTTAAGAGCCTAGAAGGCTCTGGCCTGACAAACCAGTTGATCAGGGAAGTAATGCATTTACCTCACATGCTGTGTGCATTTGGAATGCTACATGTACAGAAACAAAGGTAGATTTCATCAGAGCGACTTTAAATGTGTAGCACCTAATGAAAATCAAGTGAACTGTTGGCTTTGGAAGCCTAAACTCAGGGAAAGGGAGTGTTAAGTAAAATGGTATTTGATGTCCTGGATAAAATTACAATCTCAAAAAAAAAAAAAGGAACAACACCTAAGTGCATTGACCAGGCCTGTAAACCCAGCCACTCAGTAGGATGGCAAGTGTAAAGCCTGCCTGGGCTACAGACTGAGTTCAAGACCAGCCTAGGCAACAGAATGAGAGCCTGTTTCAAAAAAGTAAAGAGGGGACTGGAGAGATGGCTCAGCAGTTGGCGTACTTACTTTTCTGTCATTGTGATAAAATACTATAACCAAAGCAATTTACAGAAGAACTATATTTGGAGTTATGGGTCCATAATGACAGGGACAGCATGGCAGCAGGCTGCCGGAGCAAGAAGCTGAGAGATCAGACTTGGAAGTAGGACTAGGCTGTGACCTCATGGAACCACAGTGACATTCTTCCTCCAACAAGGCTGTACCACCCCACCCCTAAACATTGCCACTAACTAGGCAAATTTCACATACCCAAGCCTTATAGGGGATGTTTCTCATTCAAAACAACAGTGATTAAGACCAAGTGCTGCTCTTCCTGAGGACCTACGTGTGGTTCTGAGCATCCAAATCTGGCAGCTCACAGCCATCTAATTCTAGCCTCAGAGAATTAAGCATGTACTTACACACAGGCAGAGATGCATATACATAAAAATGAATCTTCAAACAATTTAGTTGAAAATCCTGTTTGTGGTGCTCAGGATTAAACTCAACCCTTGAATGCCTAAAGTAATCCGTTTTGCCTGTGCTTTTATTCCACTGCTGTACCCATGTAGAAATTAAAGCTTAAGGAGGCTAGCTTCCCACAGTGGTTACACAACTGGTAAGTGGTGGAGCTGATACCTAAAACCAAAAGTTTGGTTTCTGGGCGTCTCCTTTGTCTTCCTTGGTTCCATCCCTTTTCCTACCTTCCTGGAGAAGATGTGTTTGCAGATAAGTTAAAGCTTTCTCCATTGATCCATATGAATAGGTATGGAGACCTTAAAGTGAAATAATTTTTTCCTTATAAAAAAGTTCATTTTAATAAGCTACTGGATGTTAATAAAAGATGTGTGATATGCTTATCATTAAAGTTATATTTTGTACTTTTTGGTTGATCCTCATTTTCACTAAAATAAAAGCTGTCAGGTCCCGTGCTGTGACACATGCTAAGTGGACAGGTCATCTTCAGCATTTAGCTAGTTCAGGGTCAGCTCGGACTGATGACTGTCTCAAAAAGCAAAGCAATGATGATAAAACAAATATATAAAACTATAGGGTTCGAAAGTACTTAAGAATTTGTCTCCAGATAAAATGTAACAGCACCTAGTCTCCTTACGTTCTGTGTTGACAGCCTGATTCCTCTTTTTAGGAAGTTTTGTATAAATGTGGAACTGTTGTATTCCATGCTTTCATTTTCAGGTGTCTGCTTTCGGGGCAGAGCTTTCCTCAGAGGCATGCAGAGAGTTGGGTTTCTCCAGCAACTTGCTCTGTAGCTCTTGTGATCTTCTTGGACAGTTCAGCCTGCTTCAGCTGGACCCCGACTGTAGAGGGTGCTGTCAGGAAGAAGCACAGTTTGAAACCAAAAAGGTACTGTTTTCTGCTCTTATCTTTTTCTTTACCTGCCTTAGTTGAGATAAGTGAAATACAGATTGCTTAATCAGTCTAAGCAGGAGTCTCTGACTTTATAAATTTTAGTAAAACTCAGTTAGTTGCTTGCCAGGTCTACTAGATCAAAGGAAGGGTGAGTTTATATAACATACCAGGATCCATTCCACTGTGGGGAGGACGGCAGGACATGCCGCAGAGTCACTGTACACCATCGCACACCTGTGTCCCATAATGCGCCAGGCATCCTTGGCATCTGGCGAAATTCAGGCAGAGGTCAGTTAACCACATTTGGGTTATTTGTAATAATAAGCCAACTGTGCAAAGAAGTCTGAGAAGGTAGATGGTGCATAATATTTGGCACAAATGTGGTTAATAGAACTGTCAATTTACATACCCGTATCTCCTGTAGCCTTACCCTTCCTAGCTGAGAAGTCAAGGAAAAGGATCTGTGCCCGATAAAATCTATTCTTTTGACAGATAAGTACTCAGATGGGAGGGTGGGTTGGCTGATTGGAAACAGGGTCTCACTGTAGATCTTGCCATGATTCACGTAGCCCAAGATGGACTCAAACTCACAGCTCTCTTGCCTCCTTGGTGCTGAGCCACTGAGCTTGAACTTGCTCAATCATTGTTTTTTCAATAACACCCTTAGATTTTTCTTCTACTTTATGAAGTACCTCTGCCTGAAGTACTTGTATTATCCAATAAAACATGAATGAGGGGCTGAGGTGTAGCTCACTGACAGCGCTCACCTAGTATGTACAGGGTTGTCTTTAATCATCACCACCAACAGCAAAAGGATGGTATTAAAAGTGACCTAGTGGGATTTCAAAAAAACAGTCCCATTATTTTGTTCAGTTCCCTTTTCTTCCTCTTTCACTTGTCTGTGCTGAATTGTTTGAAGTGTAACTATTTGTAGAACTTTCAAATAGTAATGCTTTCTCATGACTAGATAAAATTTATTTCAAACATCAAGTACATATTTATAGTTTTAGAAGAAAAAGCAACACGTTTTAGAATACATATTGATGGTAGCCAGGTTTAACACTTGATTCCTCAGTTCAGTAACCAAGTTACCAAGGTCTCAAATGAGCTCACCAAGTCCAGTGTGCTTTTTACTTTCTTGGTTGGCATAAACCCACAGTGTATTGTATTTAGATTCCCATACATTTAAGGTAGTCCTTGTATATGTAAAAATCAAAGCAGCAAGTTTCAAAAGCTTGATTTGATTTAAAGAGATTTAAGACCAGATTTAGCTGGTTTGCTATGACTCCCCTCTGCCTCTATAGTGACATATTCCCATGGGACAAATTGCTGAAGGAAGCTGGATGAGTCATCTCTTCATCATCCCATGACTGCATTATTCAACCACAAAAGACTATTCACTAATATCCCAAACTTAGAAGACAGGATAAGAAAGAATGATTGCAATTAACAGTATTTATCCCACAAGCCCCCTTTGTAACTAAGGGTAAATTGAGAGATTCTACCCTTTCCTTGATATAAAATAATTCTAAAATATAAGCAGCTCATATAAGAGCTGTTTCTACCAATTGCTATATTTGTCAGTGCACCTTTAAAATACCCCGTTTTTTTAATACAGTTTTTGTAACACCAAATTTGGATCACATGCCTCTAAACTTAATTATATTACTATTGAGTTTTTATTAGTTGAGCCTCGTGTTATATCTAGACTGTTTTCAACTGTTACAGCTTAGCAATAACAGAAGCAAGCAGTCTGCCAGTTAATATTAGCTAATTGTTGTTAAACTGTTTGTTCCTCTGTTTCTCATGTTGACTAGCTTAAAATAATTGAGACTCTATTACATTTGTATAATAATCTTCACAACACAATGACTGAGCAGTTATTACTCTATTCTAAGCTAATATGGCTTCTTCCCAGTGTACATCCCAGAAATATTACCACTTATTAGCTTTCCCTGATCTGGCTCCTCTCCTGATGTCACCTGGACCTCTCCTGTTGGCTGTATCCCTTACTTCTTCCTCTAGCTCCTCCTGCCCTGGCTGGCAGGAAGTCCAGCCCTATTCTCTCCCCTGCTCTGTTTAAGCTGTTTTATTGCAAAGGGGATAATTGGAGAGCAGTATTTACACAACATTGGGACAGAAGAATCTCAGATCAAGGACTGTAACCAGATATGGGGGGGGACAGTTTACGGAAGTCAGCATTTGAATTACACAATAACCTTATGCCTATAAATTGTGTTTCATATAGCCAAGCATAAGTGAATCTGAGGCCTAATAACCTTTTGTACTGAGTCTAGTGCTTCACTGCTGCCAGCCCTAATCTCTAAGATCTATTTCCCATTAGGCATTTTCTAGCACCTTTCATGCAAAATGAAGGAACAGTTTTTATAGGCCTAGTGGAAGCAAACCAGAAAAAAAGTACTTAGAAGTATTACTGGAGATGTGAAAGTGGTTTGTGGAGCCAGCCTGTTAGACTCAGTCTGCAGTACAGGAGAGAGCAGAGAGTGCTCCAGCAGGCAGGAGACTCACTGTGTATAATAAATGTTCCTCTGTGTCTTTTGACTCAGGCCTGTACTTAGTGTTTGAGTCCTTCAATTCAGAACGCATTGTCTTAGGGTTTCTACTGTGATGAAACACCACAGTAATAGAAAAGGAAGGAAAGGGTTTATTTGGCTTGCACTTTCAGATCATAGTCCATCGTTGGAGGAAGTCAGGGCAGGAATTTAAACAAGGCTGGAACCTGGAGCCAGGAGCTGATGCAGAGGCAAGGAAGGGGTGCTGCTTACTGGCTTGCTTCCCATAGCTTGCTCCGCCTGCTTTCTTAGAGCACCCAGGGCCACCAGCCCAGGGTGTCATGACCCACAATGGGCTAAGCCCTCCCCCCTAATCACTAATTGTGAAAATCCATCCTTTCACCTGGATCTCATAGAGATATTTCCTCAACTGAGGGTCCTTTGATGACTAACTTGTTAAGTTAGTCAAGTTGACACACAAAACCAACCAGTATACACATTTAATAAAAGTTAAATTATCATATAAAATTGGCTCCCTTAGAAGATAGTTAATTTACAGGTTTTTGTGTTTTGTTTTGTTTTGTTTTGTTTTGTTTTGTAGTTCTTGTTTGTTTTGAGGTGGGATCTGGCTTAAAATACCTATATTATTTTTTCTGTTGTAGTGGTAGACTATCAGAAAGAAAGGGCTTGTGCTGGCTCACAGTTCCATCGCAGATATGGTAGAGGAGTTAAGGCAGCAGTGTGAAGTAGCTGATCACACTGTGTCCACAGTCAGGAGGAAGAGAACAATACATCTTAATGCTCAGCTTACTCTCTTCATTCTGTCCAGGGCTCCACTCCAGTCCATGGTATGCTGCTGTCCACTTGTAGAACGGATCTTCTCACTTGACAAAACTAATCAAGGCAGTCCCAAGAGACCACTCCCTAGTGACTCTAGATCCTGCTAAGCTGACAGAACCTTAACCTGTATTAACCGTCATACACCATGTGTAGGTCAAGCTGCCTTGAGCTCAACGATCCTCCTTTTTCTGCCTAATGTTAGGATGATGTGCACATGTCTAGCTGTTCTTTTATAATATAGTTTAAAATGTTGCTTTTGGTTCCTCCAGCTCCATGTATTATAGATCTATAATTATAGATCTATATTATAGATCCAAAGATGAGGCCATCTGTTTTCAGTAATGGTCAAAATTTTTGTTTAAAAAAAATCATGAAAGCATTTAATATCTTGAAACCCTGCAAAATTTATTTTAATAAGCAGTGACTACATTTCTCTTTCTATTTGGTCTGCCCCAATGCACTCTGGTTATAAAAGACTTACTAATTTTCTCAAATATTACTTAGAATGAGTATTTTGGTAAGCTGTTTCAGCACTGTTTTAAATAGCTTTAAAAGCTTACAACTATGTACCTAAGAAAGATTTTTAAAGTGTTCATATTAACCTAACAGGGGAAAGCATACAAATTTGTAGCTAAAAGAAAAAATGTAAACTACTAAAAGAAAAATTACTTGAATGTCAGTGGTGTTTTGAGCAATTAGTATTCATTTAGCACTACAAATGACCTGAGCTTTACTAAAGACTCTTAAAGTAAAAGGGAAGATATTGAAAATATGCCCTTCCCACTGACAGGCGCTTTTAGCACTGATGTTTTATTTGAACCTCCTTGCCCAATAGTGTTTCCTGCCTAGTAAGAAAGGACTGAGGATTTTTAGTCACAACTTTTATAGCTGAGCAGTAACCAGAGTGTGGAGGATGTGGAATGTCAGCTAGACATCATGTGGACTTGCTCTCTTAGCTTCCCCTTTACATGTTAGGTCTGTTGGTTTTATTTTCACTAGTAACTTTCCTTGACACAGGAAAGCACCACAACTGTCCATTCCTGAGTTTGGCACCTACTACTCCTTCTGCTAGAAACAGCTAATTCTTCTGTAATTTGTATCACTGAGCTATTTATGTAAAGACTTACTAAGTTTTTGTGTGTCTGTGTACCACATATATGACCTGAGTAGGCCAAAAGAGGGTATCAGATCCCATGGAACTGAAATTAGGGTCAGTTGCTACCCACTATGGGGCTGCTGGAAATCGAGCCTTGAATCTTATGGTAAAACAGCTATGCTTTTACCCACTGAGCCATGTCTCCAGCCCCACTTACTCAGAGGTATTAGCTAGGATTGTGAAGTAATGAAAGAAGTGTTAGCTTGCTGCGGTGGCTGTGTTTAACAGTGTATTGAAAGCAAAAGATGGAGCTGTCTCAGGTAAAGAACAGAGATAAGATACCATGGTGCACAGCTGTAATTGTAGTGCTCAGGAGGCTGAGGCAGGAGGATTGCTTTGAGTTTGAGGCCAACCAGGAATAGAAGTAAGACTTTTTTCAGATACTGAAGAGAGCAGGATAAAATAGTAATTAAGAAGTCCCATGAGTAAGTTTTTGTTCCCTGCTTTTACAGTAAACCACTTTTTCTAGAGCTGTCTTTTAAAAG